GTTCAGTATTGCTGGATATGACTCATTTACGAACCTAACTCAAGAATCCTGCAGGAGGGGTGTGGTTATCTACGCTAGGCAAGACCTTAGAGCCAGCCAGGCGAGGGTACAGGGAGAGGATGTTTTTGAAGAGTCCAAGTGGTGTAAAATTAAATTAAAGGGAGGGGACTTACTTATCGTCGGGTGTATCTACAGATCCCCAAACTGTGGCCCACTAAATCAAAGGAACTTAAGAACCTTAATAAACAATGCGGCGATGCTCAACCCTAGCCACCTCCTTATCATGGGGGACTTTAACTATGGCGACATCGACTGGAGAAACGAGTCCACCCCGAATGACTTGAATAACCCTGCTACTCTTTTTGTAGAAACTCTGAGAGATAATTTTCTGTTCCAACATGTGAGAGACCCGACACATTACAGAGGGGAGCAAACACCCAAGCCACTTGACCTCATCATAACAAACGAGGAGGGTATGGTAGCCAAACTGGAACACCTTGCCCCAGTTGGCACCAGTCACCATACAGTGTTGTCATTCAGATTTAACTGTTAACTAGTTCAAGATAAGGCCAGGCCAAGGTGCAAATATTACAAGGGAAATTACAATGGGATGAGGGAAGAGATGAGGGGTATCAACTGGCCTGACTTATTAAGGTACAAGAACGCAGACACTACGCTGAATATCATAACTAGTAAAATGACCCATTTGATCGATAAATATATACCCAAGACCAAACCCAGTGCTTCTAAGAATACGAGGGGATCACTACACATGAACCATGCGGCGGTCGACAAAATTAAGAAGAAAACCCAGAAATTCAAGACGTGGGTTGGGTCAAACGATGAGCAAGACAGGAGGATGTATGCAAGAGCCAGAAACCAAGCAAAGATAGAGTGTAGGAGGGCTGAAAAGGAGTTCCAGAGGCTGGTTGCACGCGAGGTCAAGTCAAACCCAAAGGCGTTTTACCGCTTTGCAAAGTCGAAATTGAAAACGCGAGTAGGAGTATCAGATCTGAGGCTTGAAGATGGTAGTTACGCAGATTCTGACCAGGATAAAGCTGAGGCATTGAACAGATTCTTTTCCTCAGTTTTCACAAGAGAGGATGCAACTAACCTTCCTGCGTTTGAGGACAGACGGTTCGACACAGCACTGACCCACATTGTGTTCACAGAAGAGGGTATTAGATATATACTGTCCAGGCTAAAGGTCCATAAGAGTCCCGGACCTGACATGGTGCATCCTAGAGTGCTAAGAGAGCTATGCAACGAGCTTGCAGAGCCCCTGAAGCTCCTGTTTTGTAAATGCCTGGACGAACAAATGGTCCCCAGTGAATGGAAAGTGGCTTATATGAGTCTTATCTTCAAGAAGGGCGATAGTCACTCCACGAACAACTATAGACCGGTGAGCCTGACCAGCATAATATGTAAAGTACTTAAGAGTATTATGAGAGATGCCGCGATGGCACATCTACTACGAAACAACCTTGTAAAAGATTGCCAACACGGTTTTATGCCGGGGCGCTCTTGCTTAACACAATTGCTCAAGGTATTGGATATTTGGACCCATATTGTAGAACGGGGTGGTAATATCGACAATATTTACCTAGATTTTGCCACGAAAGGCTGAAAATCAAACTGGAAGGGTACGGAATTCGGGGAAATGTCCTAGCGTGGATAGAAGACTTTCTACATGACCGCAAGCAGTGTGTGGTGATTAATGGCACGAAATCGTCATCTGTACCTGTAACAAGTGGGGTACCGCGGGGTAGTGTATTGGGCCCGCTGTTGTTTGTTTGTTTCATAAATGACATGCCTGACGTTGTACACTCCTCCATACAAATGTTTGCCGATGATGGCAAGTTATTTCGGGAAATTAAGAACCAAGCGGACTGTGAAGAGCTGCAGAAGGACCTCTGTGGGCTCCAGGAATGGTCGAAGAAATGGCTGCTGAGATTCAATGTCACGAAGTGTAAGAGGATGCACCTGGGGCGTACCAACGGTAAGGAGGCGTATTATGTCCCAACGGGATGAAGAAAATGCACTAGTTGAGACTGTGTGTGAGAAGGACCTAGGTGTGTATGCTGACAATGAGCTGAAGTTCTCGGGCCATTGTGAGAAGAAGGTAAATCAGGCAAATAAATTATTGGGTCTTATAAGAAGGTCGTTCAGATATCTACAGTAGACGGCCCGTCCCTCGTGACGATCTTCAGGAGTGAAGTGCTTCCCCATCTGGAGTACTGTCACCCCATCTGGTCCCCGAGATATGCTAGGGACTGTCAGTTGGTTGAAAATGTTCAAAGGAGGGCCACCAAACTGGTGCCTGCACTTCGGCACCTCAGCTACCCTGAGAGATTGGAGCGCCTGAACTTGCCTAGCTTATACTACAGACGGGCAAGGGGGGACCTAGTTGAGGTTTATAAGCATCTCAGGGGGCACTACTCAGTTGAGTGTCCTTACTTGGAGCTGGCGGACGCTCGCCCCACAAGGGGTTACAGCTCAAGATTGAAGAAGCCGCAAGTCCAGAAAACCGTGAGGGCAAACTTTTTCGGAGTGAGGGTTGTAAACTCTTGGAACAATCTACCAGAGAGTGTTGTGACGGCACCGAGTGTGAGCTCTTTCAAGAGAAGACTTGACCAACACTGGAGCGGGTTCAGGTACATTCAGGAGCCGGTGCATGCCCAGTACTTGCCAACAGTGCGTGACAGAGACGTGACCGATCGCCCAAGCGGCTAACGAGCCGATCAGTGAGATGAAGAGGATAAAAGTAAAAAGTAAAGTAAAGTGAGAGTTGTGAACTCTTGGAACATTCTGTCAGAGAGTGTTGTGACGGCACCGAGTGTGAGCTCTTTCAAGACCAGACTTGATAAACACTTTCTGGAGCAAGTTCAAATACATTCAGGAGTCAGTCAGCAGTGCATGCCCAGTACTTGCCAAGAGTGTGTAACAGAGACGTTTCGTGACCGATCACCCAAGCAGATAACGAGCAGATCAGTGGTAAAGAGAATATAAGTAAATATTCTAGAGTAAAAGTACTGTATTCCAGTTTTCAACAATGAAAAATATAGTCATCTTTGGTTTATTGTGAATATCTACCTAGCATCCTAATGTGTAGACTCTCTTAGAGCGATTTAGGTTTTCGATAAAAAATACTACAACATGTATTTCAAAATGAAATCTATTTAGCACGTTATGTAATATAAGGTATTCAGTGTTTTCGGTGTTCAGGTAGACGTGCTCACACTGTTTACAATTTAGGGGTAACTTCAAACTTTGGTGAGACAGTGATGGCTACCAGTGAGGTTGATGGCTTTCCAGAAAACTTTACAGCTGATAAAGCGAAAGGTATTTTAAGTAACAAATCAAGTTATTAAAAGAAAATGATATGTAATAGACTGGTATTCTTGCAAACCCTAAACTAATTAATTTAAAGATTATTCTTATATGGTAGCTTATCGTGAATAGTCTATACTCACCTTGCGGTAGTAATTTCAGTTTATATATATTTGTCTGCAGTTTTTCCTGCTTCTACCCTGCAGGTCTTCTAAAACAGCCAAAAATGAACCAACCAAACCTACTTAACTGAAAAAAAAATATTTTAAGCACTACCGTTAGGCCGAAAAGGATATGTTCCATTTACAGAGCCCTGAGTACAGTTCTGTATACAGTATGTAGTAGTACCATAAACCTCGAGTACGGTATAAATAGCAGTGCCACTAGGCCTGACTATATGTAAGAGCCCCACTAGCCCTGTGAATACACGGGAAAAATTAAATGGGAACACAAATTTAGACAATGGGAGTAGGTGAAGTAGGTAACCTCTAATTTTGTATACTCCCATTATTTGTACTCAAAATGGCCATAGTTAGCATTATATCGACGCAGTTGATATTACCTGTACACCTATTCTGTAAAAAAACCCAAATTAACTGCAAAGGAGAAAATGACACGGTATATGGTTAGGTTAGGTTAACTTAGGTCAAGGGATCACTTGTTAATGTAAAATTATAGCTTTGGTCATCTCTGTACTGTATTTAGATTTCAAAACTAACCTTACCTTACCAAGCTTTAATGTAATGTAACCTAACCATCCTAACCAAACATATATCTAACCTAACCCGGGGTGGGGGGAACTTTGCAAATTTCCCTGGATGACTGAACTAAAATAAAACCCTTGATAATATTCAAATAATAACTTTCAGTTGTCATCAACTGATAGTAGACAGGGTGGGAATATGTGACATTTTCAGAGTAGACAGATTGGGAACCCAGGTGTAGACAGAATTGGAGTAGACAACTGGTTCAGTACCAATTATTGTCCAGTGACAGGTTAACAGTTTGGATACATATGGTTGGTGCCTTTGTCTAGAATAATATTGATATTTGTTACTAGATTGTTTCTTCCTTGAACAATAGTGTAGTTAACAGGTCTGGTGCGAGGTTAATGATGAAAAAAAATTACTTAACAATTGGTACAATTGTTTTTTGGGCTTAAGAAAATTGACAGTAACCTTCACAGAAGTGTGTTTGTTTATAGTTCATTCCTTCTTTTTATTTTATAAATAAATTGATATATATATATTTTTTTTAATTCCTGACACTGGATCTATTAACTACTGTATATGTTAATTAATCTAACTAATACCCTGTAAACAAAATCCCTCAAAATAACAATTTTTATTGTGCCCATTCTTAACATTTGCCCTCCCCCCCAAAAAAAAACCAACTGATTTTAGCAGTAACTAACCACAAAACGTTACCAGAATTGAGCACAGTATAAATCACTTCATCGTCAGTACTGTACTTGATAATAGAGTAGAACTTCGATTTAACGCGAATCGATTTAAGATTATCGATTTAAAGCGACACCCACAATTAAGGACAATGTTTTAATTTAAAGCGAATCTTTCCTATTTTGCGAGAGTCAATCTGGTGCATCATATTTTAAATTTCGTGCCTAATGTTTCCCACCAGACGCGTCTCTGGACACGCTACACGGCTGCCCGCCACCATCCCACACCCTCGCGCATCCTCAGTTCTCGCGCTGACGCTCCAGTGAACGGACTTATTGTGTGACCCTCTCTCTTCTACCACATGCATCAACCATCACCATTATTTCCAAGAGGCCAGCTACTACAGTACATCATTAACTACCCCACAGGTCAAGAAATCAAGGCAAGCAATTACACTGGAGCAGAAAATCAAGGTGCTGGAAGCACTGCAGCGTGGAAATGGTGGTTCAAGTGTGGGACGTCAATTTAGACTGTCGGAGAACACTGTCCGCACTATAAAGTTCAATGAGGAGAAAATTAGAGCAGCCTATGCTTCACCTGATGTTGCCAAGGGTAAACTCCACCTGAAGATTGCTATGTATATTGAGATGGAAGAAGCACTGAACTTATGGGTAGAAGACATGCTGCGCCGAAAACTTCCTCTCACTGGCCCCTTGCTGCAAAACCAAGCCTACGAAATACAGTCTCGGATACTTGAAAAGGAAGAGAAGTCCATCAAAGACAATATGTTCACAGCAAGTACAGGCTGGCTGTACAAATATATCAAAAGGACGGGGCTACGGAATGTGACGCTTTCAGGTGAAGCTGCATCTGCCGACGCGGAGGCAGCCGAGGATATGAAGAAAGTTATGAAGGATATAGTGTTAGAAAATGGTTATTCTCCTTGCCAAGTGTGGAATTGTGATGAAACTGGACTGTATTGGAAAAAAATGCTCAAGAAAACCTATCTAATGAAGAATGACGAAAAAGCACCAGGGTTTAAGGTCAGCAAGGACAGACACTGACGATTCTCATGGCGAACCCATCAGGCACCGCACGAATGAAGCCACTCGTCATCCACCACTCAGCTAGACCTTGTGCCCTGAAAAATGTGCATATCCCGAAACTTCCTGTAATTTGGCAATCAAACAAGAAGGGGTGGATGACTTCTGATATTTTCGATGAGTGGTACATCAGCCATGCCACCCCATTCATCGAAAATGTTAAAAAAAATTGAACATTAGCAAAAAGGCCTTGGTTCTCATGGACAACGCATCTAGCCCTCCAAACACCTGTGCAGTGTGAATAATGACGTAAACTTGACCTTCTTCCCTCCGAACGTGACTTCACTTATTCAGCCACTAGATCAAGGTGTTATTGCCTTGTTCAAGAGATATTATCTCAAGAATACCATGAGGCAAATGGCTGAAGCTATGAACAAGGACAACAATATGACAGCAGCAACGTTTTGGAAGAGTTACACCATCAAAGATGCCATAGCTAACATTGCAACTTGCATGGAAAAGTGTGCCAGAAAGTGCACTAAATGGAGTGTGGTGTAATCTGTGGCCTGAGGTAGTCCATGATTTCAAGGGCTTTGATGAAGGCTAGGACGTGAAAGACATTATGAAGCTCATTAAGGAAGTGAGAGGTGATTCAGGATTTCAAGAAATCCAAGAAGATGTGACTGAACTGCTTGTTTGCATGGAGGATCCTCTCACTTCTGAAGAAGTCTTGGAGATGGTGGAGATGGCGAAAAAACACGAGGAAGCTACAGTTAAGCCCCAAACAGTGGGGAAGGAACTGACAATTCCTAAGCTGAGGGAGTTTATGCAGCACGTCACTTCTGCCACCCAGTCTGCACTGCAACATGACCCTGATATGGAACGCAGTATGCAAGTGGTGGAGGCGTTGAATTGGGCTGCATCTACGTACTTTCTGCTGCTAGATCAACTGATTATGGCCCAGCAACAGAAGAAAATCACCTCAATCTTCTGTCCATTATCAACAGGTGAGATTGTTATGAAACCGTGTGTTATGAAACTGAGTGTTTATTGCTCGGAAAAATAGACATTAAATTTTGGGCATACGATATGTAATAATTATGTGGTAGAAATTTAATGATTGTTTTCCATTCCTTCAGCTCCTGAGGTAGCTGGCCAAGGCCGTCATCCAGTGCTTTCTGCGTGTCAGATGTGTCAACAGCCACACCACTAGACAGTGATGTGGATGATGAGCTGGTCGAGTTGAGCTCTGCATCTTCAGAGGATGAATTGCCTTACTAAAGGTGATTGAAAATCTATTTTTGATGGCATAAAGTAATTAAAAAATTAAGTTGAGAGGAAAGTGAATCAGACGAGAGGCGGGTGAAGCGCGGCACCAGTGCCACCAGCCTCCCCCATCAGCTGATGTAAACAGACCATTTCACATCCAGTAATTTTAGCTGTGTTGATTTATGAGTGTTTGTTTTGGCATAATACAACAGCCTGTACAAAACAATGTTTTGTATTATAGGAGATGGGCTGAGGTGCATCTGGGTGTATACTCTCAGTCGGGGAGGGCCAGTGGCCCAAGGCAGCAGACAGTACTACGCAGTATCAGTACCGTCCAACTCTGAACTCTTCTGCAGGAAGTGCTTGCCTCATATATATCATTACACCATATATTTTTCTCATATTTACTAGTTAATAAAAGTCTTTGTTAATATTTTGTGTTTCTCTCAAGTACCTAACTAAATTTTTCCATTGAAACAACACTTTGATTTAGCGTTCTCTTGGAACGTATCTCATGTTAAATCGAAGTTCTACTGTACTTACAGTATTGGATAATTGAGCGGTGGTCTTTTTAAATCACTGAAATGATGTTGACATGTAAACAATGGTGTAGGCAGAATGAGGAAGAGGGAAAAGGTACAGTATTTTTATGCATCAAATGGGTATCAATTTCTAAGATGTTGTTTTTGTAAAAAGAAAAAGAAAAAGGGAAGTTTTCAATGAATTAAAAAGATTTTGTTATTATTTTAGTTTCGGTCATCCGGAGAATCTAGGAATTTAACTACAGTATAGTCTCGATTTACGCGGATTTGGTTTACGCGTTTGGTCATTTAAGTGGCACCTTGCCAGACCGACAATTTTTATTTACGCGGTTCATTCCATCATTTACACGAGAAGCGTCGCGGGCAAGGTGCGCACAAGGTCGCCCAGTCAACAAAACATTACCGAGTTCTTCACCCGCCACCCACCACAGCCAGCCCAAGTCAGTGATAGTGATAGTGAGGATATGGACTTTGAGGGGTTTGACAAAGAGGCCCTGCAAGCCTCTGTGGTGGATAGTGATACAAGTGATACAGGTGAGTGCCAATAATCTGCCCTCTGCCTCAGAACCAACCCCAATCCCCGTGTACCCAGCCATCTCTTCTACTAAGTAAGTGTTAAAAAACCTAATATTATTGATATTTCTCTTAAATATTAATTGTGTGTGCATACCATCATAAAATTAATATTTTATTTTTACTACAACTACGTAACGTATTGTGCCTGGGTGAAGTATAATTTGTTTATTTACTGAAGATATTTGTTTTTATCTCATAAAATTCATAGAAATTACCTGGCCAGAATAAAGTTTACATTGCTGGAATTCTTATAAGATAGTGATTAATTTGAATATAAACAAGCTAAAATTTGCATTAGACATACAAATTTTAGATCTAATTTAAGAATTTTATTGAGAGAGAGGAAAAATTTTATCTTTTGTGCAAAATATATGACGTTTATATTCAAATTATTCGCAGTCTTGTAAGGAATCCCGCAATGTCAATTATATTATCCTAAACATAGTCTGAGGTATTATTTATTACTAAACCTAAAATCCTAGTCTTTTCTCCCAAACATTTCTCAGGGAGGGAGGAGCCAGCGAGCGTGGGAAGAGGGAGGGGGGTGGGGAGTTGAGTCCATTATTGGAATGGACATTAACCAGAGACTGTATTTCACCCAAAACCTCAGGTTCCCATTGGGGGTCCCACATACCGTTGGATAAAGGTGGGAAGGGGGATCTAAAAAACTAGTGCTTTCCGATAGAAATGAAGGTCAAAGATCATTCAAAGCACGTTAAAACCATCGGAAAAACATAGTTTGGATATCTAAATACAGGTAGTTCTGCTATAACGCGATAATTGTGTTCTTGTAAAATATCGTGTTATAGAAAATCGCGTAATAGAAATAACAGGGCTTATGGAGAAAATAGGGTTAGGTGCAGATTACTCGAAATCGAAAAAATTTAGTAGTTAGCCTAACACAAAGGATAGCACAGTCTAAATAAATGTTACATTCATATCTAATAATGAAATCATACAGTAAATTTAACACTTTACCTTGAAAAAATATGAATGTAACTTGATGGGGGAGAAGGGTGATTTTGAGGTTGATAACATCGAGCTTCTCTTCAAGTGTTATATCCTTTCTTTTACGATAATCACCGGGAATTCTATCATCAGAACGCTTTTTGGAGATATTCTTCTTTACCATATTCACAGTTAATACCACAAAATTGGAGAAATAGTAAGCCAAAAATCGCGTTATAGCAAACAAGCGTTCGCGTTATACAAATATTGTTCCGAATTCATAAATCGCGTTAGAGCAAATTCGCGTTATCAAAACACGCGTTATAGCAGAACTCACTGTACTGTACAATACAGGGATGACCGAAACTGAAATTTTATCAAGATTTTTACAACAGTACTCAATACTATTTTTGATGAATTAATTAATGTTGTAATCTCAGAGCCAAGTGGTGACATTAGTAAATATTGCAATTGGTGCTGCTCTTTCTATAGAAACTTGACACAGGATAGATTCTAAGATAACCCTTAGGCCCCAGGTGAGGTTCCAGAACGTCCGACCAGCGCGCCCCGGGTGACGTTCCAGAACGTCTGCCTATTCCATCCACTGCTTAAATGCCCAATGCGGGTTATCAGGTTCCAGTGTGACTATTTGCCTGTCACACCACACGCTCGGCCACAGGGAAGCTTCCTGAACATAATTACCTAATTTTGTTTGTTTCATTTTCATTGTTTGTCTATTTTGTATCAAAGTAATATTGCTAAAAGTATTGTAGTTGTTTTATAGTGTAGTATTACTGTAAAATAATGCTATGATTATGTTATATGTTTTTATTTGTGGAATTATTATTATTTTGTGCATTCCTTGCTCTACCAAACACAAAGACAGACAAGCAGACTGGCGACTGACTAGTGAGTGTTGCCAAGGACTTTTTATGAAAAATAATGCAAATAAAATACAGTTAACCCTCACTTTACGCGGTCCCGCATAACGCGTTTCCACGTTAACGCGGTGCCTTGCCAGAACCTCACGTGCTCACATTACGCGGTACGTGAACCCCATTACGCGGAGAGTGTCCGGCGCGACGCTATTTTTAGATTCGCCCCACTCGCCACCCGCCCGCCTGCCTGCCTGTGCTCCTCGCCTCTCCCTCCTCCTCCCTCCGCTTGGGCAAGCGGCGCGGTAAGGTTGCGCAGTGTGTGTCTTTGTTGCGTTATCACTGATGTCATATGACATATCAGACCTGTGATTGGCCATGCATCCCTACCCCCCTCTGCTGCTAGCTGTAATTGGCTTAAAGTATTATGACGTGTCCACCCGGGGGAGGGAGGGAGGGAGGAAAGACGACGCTTGACCTAGCCGCGGCAGTTTCATCCCTCAAGGCCACACCGTGTAAACGCGCATCCATTGTTCCGTAAAATGGCTTCCGCCGGACCACCACCCCCAGAGAGAAACCTTTCCTTACCTGGACCCAGCGGCACTAAGCCAAAGAAGACACAACGTTCCTTAAGCTACGAGGTGAAGTATACCATCATCCAAGAGTTGAGAAAGGAACAAGGCAGGTTGATTTGGCGGGCCAGCATGGTGTGAATGAATCTACGATTCGAACAATAAAGAAGGATGCAGCCAAGATAAAGGAGCACATGAAGATCACAAAGTCTACAGGTACTTCTATGATCAAGTATTTTCACAACCAGGTGCTTCTCAAGACAGAAAAATTACTTGTGAGGTACTTGGTGCGTCAGGCGCGACGGAACATGGCGGTCGACACGCGCTCTGTTAAGGACTACGCATGTGAACTGTACATCGCAGTGGCACGAAAGATGGGAATTACAGAGCCCAAACCCTTTAATGCTTCCTCTGAGTGGTTACAGAGGTTTAAGATCCGGAACAAGATCACCAATATAAACATTGGTGGTGAAGAAGCGAGTGCTGACCGTGCTGCGGCTCGGGAATTTCCTCCGTTTTTACGTGAGATTATGGAGGAAGGACAGTACAGTGACGACCAGGTGTTTAACATGGACGAATCTGGTCTTTTCTGGAAAAAGCTACCTTCCAAGTCCTTCGTTGTAAAGAATGCCAACAGGATTCGGGGCCGGAAGATGCAGAAGGAACGCATCACCGTCCTGTTTACCACCAATGCCTCAGGTACCTGTAAGCTCAAGTTATCGGTGATCCACACAGCACGCAAGCCGCACGCCTACAAAACCATGGACATGACCAAGCTAAATGTCCACTGGCTGACCGCATGTAAGGCGTGGAAGTTCTCTACACTGTCCCTCTCCTGGTTTGATGACTGTTTTGTTCCCGATGTAAAAAAATTCTGTGAGCGACAGAATGTGCCATTCAATATTTTGTTGCTGCTGGACAACGCACCAGGACACTCGCCCCTACTGTTAGATCGTCACCCCAACGTAAAAGTGGTCTTCCTTCCTCCCAACACTACGTCTATATTACAGCCCATGGACCAAGAGTTAATCTGTAATGTAAAAGCTGCATTCTCAACAAAAAAATTCCAGCTCCTGAACGACTACACCAACACCAGGGAAGAGTTGCGTAACCTGGGTGACACCACCACCGATAGCAAGAGCGAAGAAGATGAGGATCAACAGTTGGAACAGCAAAAAATACTCTTCAAACAATTCTGGAGAGTATTTAACATCAAGAAAGCTGTGGACTTCTTGGTGGAGTCATGGGATCAGCTGTCTATTGCTACAATTCGTCACGCATGGAGACATGTGTTGCATGGAATACCAGGTGAGAGGAGGAGTCAATCTGTGACTGGTGAGGTTCAGAATGTTGCAGTAGCAGTGGACCTTGCCAGAGAAGCTGCGCAGACTGTTACAGTTCCAGGCTTCTCCGAGACCACCAACGACGACATCCTGGAGGTGATCAGAGATCCTGAAGTGACTGCCGACGAGATGTTGGAATAAGAACACGTCAGTGAAGAGGAGGAAGAAGGTGCGTCATTCTCCGAAGAACACAGTTTAAGTCATAGTGATATTAAGGGTGCCATGGAGTGTGCAGAGAAAATGAAGTCCTTCCTTTCCCGCGACAATGACGATGACCGCTATGAAGTCTTCCATACCCGGCTGGTGCAGGCTATGGAGCCGTACATCAAGGTGTATCACGACAACATCAACGCCAGCCGTCAGCAAAGCATAACAGATTTCTTCGCCCACAACCCACCACAGCCAGCCCAAGCCAGTGATAGTGACAGTGAAGATGACTTTGAGGGATTTGTCAGGGAAGCCCTGACAACTGTAAGTGACAGTGATGGTGATTCACCTAGTAATGGTTATTCACCTGAAGGCCAGTAATCTGCCCTCTGCCTCGGAACCAGCCTTCATCCCCGTATGCCGACTCATCTCTTCTACTACCGTAAGTGTTCCACCTAACTTTTAGTTTTTCTAACCTAACCTTTATTTTTCCTATGTTAACCTTTATTTTTCCTATGTTAACCTTTATTTTTCCTAAACTAACCTCTTCTATATTACTTGTTTTTTCGTACCATCATAAAGTTAAGATAAAATTTTTACTACAACATAGTTGTGTGTCGTCAAAAAGTGGAGTTTGGGGATTGGCCCGGACTCCATTTCAATTAATCCCATATGTTATGTTATTCACTTTACGCGTTTCTCACTTTCCGCGGGACCCTCCGGGTTACATTAACCGCGTAAAGTGAGGGTTAACTGTACTCTAAATCAATTATTTATAGCAAATAATTATTAAGATCAGTAAATTTATGCATTATTGTCCACCTCGGACACAAAGGCGAGCTAAAAATAGCTACTAAGTGCATAATGACCACGAGCGTCAGCTGTCAAACCAACACTGTCTCCTTATCTCCCCCCCCTCCCTCCGCACAGCCAGGGAAGTTTCTAGAGGGTCAAGATATAGTTCTTCTTACTTAATTAATATTGTTTTATCATTTAAAAAGGTTAAAAATTATACTGTATTTGGAAAAGTTGATTGTTCTCCATTTCCCCCCGGGTGTGGGGTACTGCCAGCGGCACACTAACCCGGGGCTTAAGGGTTAATCCAAACTTGATATACCTGCACTGTACCTTGATCTTGCCTTTTTTTATAATAACGGATACCTCAGAATACTGTATATTGAATATCAAGGTTTTGTGCAAAAATTACAGAAAATAGATATGCATATGTACAGTGGTCCTGCGGTTAACAAGCACAATCCGTTCTAGAAGGTTGCTCGTTAACCGAAAAACTCGTTAACCGAAACCATTGTTTCAGTGGGTTTTTGGGTAATTGGTTTCAGCTCACCGAAAATTGCCTAAATTCAACAAAAAAGGTAGAAAAGTACACTTACTTTGACTTGTGTATGTAGAAGGCTCCTGGATGATGATGATGAGTATGATGGGAATTAGAATGGGGGTGGAGGAGAAGGGAGAAGAGAAGGCATTGGGGTGGAAGAGAAATCACCCCATGGCGCCATTTCACCCATAAAATTTTAGTTCTCGGTGTAATTCAAGATTATTTTCTTTAAATCAACACTGCCCTGCATTATATATTGTCAATATGTAAAATAAATTTCAAAATGACCAATAATTTGCTTGGAACACAGAAAAAAGCGTTTAGTTGAAGAGAGTCTCAAGCAAGATTTTACTTCCACTGAAAAGTCAGAGAGACTGACGCCTGTTTAGTGTGTTCACAGGCTGGATGGCGTGCATAAAACAAGTTTCCTTACCTTCAATTATGTTCAATAATTGTTAAAATGACTAAAAAAATGAATATTAAACTTTTAAAATTATTGAATAGTATAAACTTCTTGATATTTACTAAAATGGTAAGGAATATAAGCCCTAGAACCGATTACTGTATTGGCGGACTAATACTATTGCTGGTGGACCGCCAAATGCAAGCGAAAACATGTTGAGGTCGGCTCGTAAGTAACTCGTTAATCGAGGGATTGCTCATTAACCGAAGTTAAGAATCTTATGGAAGGTAACTTGTTAACCGAAATCTCGTTAAGCGAGGCGCTCGTTAACCGAGGGACCACTGTATAGTATATTCTATAATTTTAAATTTCTTATTTAAAATGCTAAAATCTTATGTAAAATAAATTTTAAGTAGATTTTTAATAGACATATACCCTACTGTATAAACAAATATTGCACATTTATTAGGCAGTACAGTACAGTATTACTCGGTCAGTTAAGGTGTCATCCTCAGATCTGAAGGTTGACAACCATAGCTCCCCCTTTCCAAACATTTTTAGGCTGTTATTAGGCTACCAATTCTTTAGCTTTCTATGCAGGTAAAGCCCATAATCAGTTCCAGGTCCAGTACTGTACTGTACTGTACTCCCTTGTGGTTCAACAATGCTCCTAGAATGTTCACCAAGTTTTCATGGACATGGTAGGAGACAGAAAGAAGCTTTTAATCTGTCTCCAACCATATTCATGTCTGGTGAGTTTTGAGTTTGTGTCTTGGAGCAGTATGAGTTACAATTTAGCTAAAGCTAGATATTTCATGAAAAACGAGAAGTCAATATTCTCTCTCAGTCAAGATTTCCATTGGTTAAACCTCCAGTGGTATACTGTACTAGGAACAATTTGGGTCAGTTTCTAATGGAGAATCCTTTTCTACTTTCTTGGGAAATCTTCTTATCCTCTATCTAGAGCAGTGGTTCTCAACCTTGTTTGCCCCATGCACCCCTTTCACCATATGTCAGAATGTCATTCCCCCCTCCTTTCCAAGATTGTCTGCCTCAAAAAGTGCATTCCAAATAATATGCATATAATACTGAAAATCCTTTATTTTTTCCATATTAGTATCAGTTTCCCCCCCCCCCCTGAAAACCTGAGGGGGGAAATTCCCCCCTGGTTGAGAACCCCTGATCTAGAGGATAATATCTCAGAGGAAAATGGCGAAAATAAAGTTGATCACGAGTGCTACTGAGCAGTTGCTCGGGAAGAGGATAAATAAGTACAGATGAATGTAGTAAAGCATATACACGTGAAACAGCCCTTTAATTTTCTGCCCTATGATAGCTTAAGTCATGCCCCAAGGATGGATACCATTTCTGTAGTCTCATAGCTATAGTAATGTCAACATAACTTAATCTGTATGAATATCCAGTTCTATTCTACAACACTGTATTTGAACAATGCTCATTGTATTGTTGAAGTATCTTCTCATCAACAACAAAAGTTCTCTTTCAGCGGCTTTACGAGAAATTTTAGCTGCTCTGACTGGAGGGGAAGTAGTGGAGGCCTTAGAAGCTGCTCGGGAAGCTGCTGGTAATGACATGGTGGCCCTCATGACCCGGGTGTTTCCTCTGGTAACTCAGGTCACCACAAAGGTCATCAACAACTATGGCTTCACTCAAGATGGAGTTGGTAAGTTAAAATTACAAAACTTATATTATTATCTGCTTCCTCTTGCTTTAATATTGGCAAGAATGTTATATCTTGGTCCCAATTTGACTTAATCATTAATGACAACAATCAAACTGGACCAGTCAACTTAACTTGACTGAGTTGAGAAATATTGTAAGATTTTTATGTTAGGATTGAGTTTGATCCTTCATATTTTTCAATCTGGTAAATTTGCCCATTCAGCCTGACTTGCACTTGTTACCACCATTTAATATCTGATCTTTGTTATGAGGCTCACAAGTATCTGTTAGATAAAATTTGGGTAAAACTGAAAGTAGGATGGCCATGGGAAAGAAAAGAAACTGGGATGAATGAATGAGATAAAGAGCTGGGTCCTCAGAGAAATGCAAAATATAGAAAGATTGGTAAAGATAACCAGAAAACCTTTGGAGTGGTGTGCCATAGTCACAAACCTTCAGACCTGAAGAAGGCACCTTACTAGATTAATTGGTATCTGTAAATATTATCCTCTTTGCCACTATCTTGTTAGCCACATATAGTAATGAAGAAACCTATATTTTCTCCAGGAGCAATACAGTTTGAGCACGTGATGAAGAATCTTGGTCAGGATGACCCAGAGGTTGCAAGACTTCATGCACAAGTTCGATCTTATTTCCTGCCCGCCGTTGTCATACCACCGTCAGGTCGTCCATAAGGACATGAGTACATACAGTATTAATGTACTTCAAGTTGAAGCAATACATTTTTGTGACGAGTGTTCCCATACTGAGGGAAATCAACCTCTAATTCATTTCTAAAGGATAATGATATGTTGTGCTGCACCTGGTCATTTAATTCTGTTATCTGATGGATTATATTTGCATATTATTCTTTAAATACACAGTATTAGCCTTGATTCTGTTTATTTTTTTCTTGAGAGATGATATACAAAAACATCTATTGACAGCTTCGATGAAGCTACATAGTTTTTTCACAATTCAGTACACTGATATTTAATGCTTTTTGATGTAATGAAGGAAATAAATTGGCACATTTCCTGAAGGTGACACATTGAGAAGATAATGTTGGCCCTCTTTGTGGCCCCAAGATAAGTAGAGGCAGCAAATATGAACAAAATATTTTAGGCATGAATGAAAGGTTAAGGAAATTGCCTAGTACTGTACTCAAGGCAGCATCTCTAAACACTATAATAGGCAATTACTGTATATTTGAATGCATTACAAAACTTCCGAGTATGCTTAACTACCATACTTATAAACTGCATGTCACTCATGATATTGTACAGGGCTAAGCCAGATGACCCTTAGATCTAAAATCAGTGCTCTTAAACCCTGTGTTAGTGTGGTAGGAGATCTTTGTAATGTATTGTGTGGTAGAGTGTTTCACAATCCACTTCTTATATCAGCAAATGAGTACTGTACAGTATTGTATTGATATTTTTAAATTACAAGTCAGCAAGTTAAGTATATCTTAGCTTCTTTAGGAACAGTCAGCACATGACTTATTCTTCCGAGTTGAAAGTGAAGATTACATTTTAATTTTTGTCATCAACATTTAGTAAAGTGAAGAATATGGTTAGAGGTGGGCCACCTTCAGCCATTTCTTGGGGTGTCAGAGGTGTTTTAATTTGTAAAATTATCCAAACAAAAATATTTCTAGGACAATTTTTTTTTCACCTAGTACTGTTGATTTGTTCAACCCCAGACTCAAAGAAGGCACTTTCAACTTTTTCAATAGTCTGTTGGCAGCTAATATGAACTGTGTGTACTTTCTACAGGGTGTTTTAGGAAAGTGCCCTGAATGGTTATGTTTACACTGCTGTCATCTGTTAAATACTATACGTGGGGTTACCGATACCCCACCAAATTGTAGCTTTTGAAATGCAATAAAACATTACAAGATAACATCTTATGTCTGGCATGGGAGGTGGCAGCAGTATTATCACCACTCTTCAGGATGTTTTCATAATATAGCTTTTTGGAAACATTTACTGTAATGTGACAAATTAGTTTTGATGTAATGAAATTATTCCTTGTTACTGTGCTAATAAATTGTATCCTAGCAGGTAAGGTCTGATGTGAGGGAAGTGAGGGTGCCTGGGAGCCGATGGTGTATCTCAGAAAATGGGGTCAATCAGTGCAGATTTAGAGAAGGGGTGAGGGGACCTTGGGAGTACTACTGTACTGTATTCCTGACTGAGTTAGACATTATTAAATAGTTTCTGTCAGGAAATATGGTACAGTATACTGTAATGTGATTTTGATGTAAGATGATGAGTGGACCTGGTTACATTATACCCAGGATCACTGAATTGAAAAAAAGGTAAAATACTGTACTACTTTATACAGTACAGGTAAAACATGCACCACAGTACAGGTATATATAAACATCCTGCCTTATCACATCTTGGATCAAAAGGTATTGAAAATTTTACACTGAGGAACTCGGAAACAAGCTCAGGAATATAAAGATGAGTTCCACACATGAAGGCTAGTTCTTAGAGGAATATAGCTTACTTTTATAGATTATACTGTACTGTACTAGCTATGGACTTTGTTAAGTAATATGACATGTTCACGGGATGAGTGTTAGATAGATTTGTGTACCATTTTGATATAACTGAATGAAACATTTTACCTGTTTTGGAAGTTAAAAAGATTAAACTTATTATACAGTAATTATTTTTATATTTTTTTATATTTTACTCTTTTAAGTAAGTGGTTAGAAAAAAGAATGTTATTTTTACATTGGAACTGGTTATTAACATGTTATAATTCCCACCTCCCATAGTTTTCTTCTCACATTATTACTGTACTGTATATAAAGTTCAATAGCCCAAAAAACTTCTTTTAACACTTAAATACATTAATATGCACAGCCATTGTTTGTTAGTACTGTACATACTGTAATATGGCGCAGTACACATCTTCACTAACTAGTAAATTTCATTTAGTTTTAGTTCTCATATATGCAGACAAAAGGGAGGAGATATACCGACGAGTATCTTATCATAACCTGTCTGTGATATGCCCTTCTAGGCCCACTTGCTGATACTCTGGGGTTGACTCATAAAAGTTTCAATCTTGGACACACATTATCCCCTGTATTTTCTCCTCTCATACTTAAAGAATAAATAGATTATTAAAAAAATTGCCATATTTCAGTTTAATAACTTGTCAAGATGGCTCATCAAGTCAAACACCTCATTAAACTCAACCTATGAGGATTAGATAAAGTTAAGGGTGTGAATCAATACTGTTCTGAAAGCATTTAAATGCAGATTTTCATAAATTCAACAAAAATTTGAGTAAATACATGTTTGGCATATGAAATATCCTGTCCTATAATACTGCATTACCTTATTTCCTCTACAGTGACCCCTCGGTTAACGAACTCAATCCGTTCCAGAAGGTCGTTCGTTAACCGAAAAGTTCGTTAACCGAAACCATTGTTTCAATGGGTTTTTGGGTACAGTAGAAGTCCAAAAATCCGGACTGCTTGGGGATTGGGTTGGTCCGGATTTTTGGATTTTCCGGATTCTCAGGCAGTACTTTTAAAATTCAAATTTAAGGAGGAATAAAGAAGAGATGAACAGGTACATTTTGATAGTTTATTCTTTAGCAAATATAGCATGCTTCATTTAACAAAACGAGCAGTTTTAAGGAAAAAGCTGTGAATTCTAGAATTTTATTCTTTGCCTCTTTTATATCATAAATTGTAGACTTCCAATGTCGTATGTTTCCATTAGAACAGTATTGCTCACACCATATTCTAGTTTCTTAATTATTTCAAGTTTGTCACTCAATTTCAACGTGTTATTCTTTCTCTTCACAGAACGAAGTTTATCTACTTTAGGAGCCATTATTATGGGCTTGTACAGTACAGTACTCTGTAAATGAAAAGAGTAGGACTCAAAATTACATACATTGTCACAGTTTGATTGCTCTTTTTAAAGTGGCGACCGCGTGGTCGCTTGTTGTCGCTGTGCAGCTGTGGCACTCACGCATGCGCACATACACACAAAAGCTCGCTAAAAAAAAAAAAAAAATGAATTTCCTAAAAGTCCGGATTCTCGGGTGGTCCGAATTTCTGGCATCCGGATTTTTGGACTTTTACTGTAATTGGTTCCAGCTCACCGAAATTTTCCTAAATTCAACAAAAATGGTAGAAAAGTTCACTTACTTTGAGGTGTGTATGTAGAAGGCTCCTGGATGATGATGATGGGATTTAGAATGGGGGTGGAGGAGAAGGAAGAAGAGAAGGCATTGGGGTAGAAGAGAAGTCACCCCATGGCGCCATTTCACCCATAAAATTTTAGTTCTCTTGGTGTAATTCAAGATTATTTTCTTTAAATCAACACCGCACTGCATTATATATTGTCAATATGTAAAATATATTTCAAAATGACCAATAATTTGCTTGGAAACACAGAAAAAAAGCGTTTAGTTGAAGAGAGTCTCAAGCAAGATGTTACCTCCAGTGAAAACAGAGAGAGACTAACGCCTGTTTGCTGTGTTAAGAGGCTGGATGCCGCGCATTAAACTAGTCACTTTACCTTCAATTATGTTCAATAATTATTAAAATAACTAAAAAATTGAATATTAAACTTTTAAAATTTTTGAACAGTATAAACTTCTTGATATTTACTAAAATAGTAAGGAATTTAAGCCCTAGAACCGTTTAATGTATTGGCGGACTGATACTAAAGCTGGTTGCCCGGTCAGTGCAAGCGAAAACATGTTGAGGTCGGTTCGTAAGAAATTCGTTAACCGAATTTTTGTTCGTTAACCGAATTGAAGATCCTTATGGAAGGCAGTTCGTTAACTGAAATTTCGTTAACCGAGGCGTTCGTTAAACGAGGGGTCACTGTATTCTTTATTACAATACTGTATTTAAATTAATTTTCCAGGCAAACCTATGCCAATCCTCATCTTTATAGAGTTAGGTAGGACCCCTGATCCTAATAGCAAAAACAGTTGCATAACCGTTGGGTTATAAGATCAGTTCCACCTTTTAATGGCTTCTCACATAACTTTTTCTGCCTCTATTTGGATTATCAAGTTTCCTTGATTGATGGGAATTCAGTTGGCACCAGCATAAGGAAGCTGTTCATTTATAAAGTAAATCACATATAACTGCACAAAATACAGTGCCAGGGAGCCCATCACTGCCTTCTTTTATAAACTGACTTATTTTTAAGAGCTGCTACACCAGCAGTTCCATGGACTGTATATTCATCTTATTTTAAGTATACAGTTGTACCCCACTTAACGCGGTCAATTGAACCCAGAGGGTCCCGCGCTAAGTGAAATCCGCGTTAAGTGAACAACAGAACATATGGGATTAATTCCAATAGAACCCAGCCCGACCCCCAAACTCCACTTTTTGACGACACATAGCTATGTTGTAGTAAAAATTCTATCTTAACTTTATGATGGTATGAAAAAACAAGTAATATAGAAGAGGTTAGGTTAGGAAAGATAAAGGTTAACATAGGAAAAATGAAGGTTACCTAAGAGAAACTAAAAGTTAGGTGGAACACTTACGGTAGTAGAAGAGATGGGTCGGCATACGGGGATGGAGGCTGGTTCCGAGGCAGAGGGCAGATTACTGGCCCTCAGGTGAATCACCATTACTAGGTGAATCAACATCACTGTCACTTACAGTTGTCAGGGCTTCCCTGACAAATCCCTCAAAGTCAACTTCACTTTCACTATCACTGGCTTGGGCTGGCTGTGGTGGGTTGCGGGCGAAGAACTCGGTTATGCTTTGCTGACGGCTGGTGTTGATGTTGTCGTGATACACCTTGATGTACGGCTCCATAGCCTGCACCAGTCGGGTATGGAAGACTTCATAGCGTTCATCGTCATTGTCGCGGGAAAGGACGGACTTAATTTTTTCTGTAAACTCTATGACACACTTAATATCACTATGACTTAAACTAGGTTCTTCGGAGAATGACGCACCTTCTTCCTCCTCTTCACTGGCGTGTTCTTCTTCCAACATCTCGTCGGCAGTCACTTCAGGATCTTTGATCACCTCCAGGATGTCTTCGTTGGTGGTCTCGGAGAAGCCTTCAGCTGTAATATTGAGCGCAGCTTCTCTGGCAAGGTCCACTGCTACTGCAACAGTCTGAACCTCACCAGTCACAGGTTCACTCCTCCTCTCACCTGGTATGCCATGCAACACATGTCTCCATGCGTGACGAATCGTAGCAATAGTCAGCAGATCCCATGCCTCCACCAAGAAGTCTACAGCTTGTTTAACGTTAAACTTCTTCCAAAATTGTTTGACGAGAAGTTCTTGAGTCACCGCCTCTTGTTCCTTGTCCTCGTCGCTTTTGCTCTCGCTGTCGGTGTCACCCAGCTTACGCAACTCATCCTTGGTGTTGGTAGAGTCGTTCAGGAGCTTGAACTTCTTTGCAGAGTACGCAGCTTTCACATTGCAGATCAACTCCTGGTCCATGGGCTGGATTAATGACGTAGTGTTGGGAGGAAGGAAGACCACTTTTACGTTGGGGGTGACGATCCATAAGTAGGGGCGAGTGTCCAGGTGCGTTGTCAAGGAGCAACAAAATATTGAATGGAACATTCTGTTGCTCGCAGAATTTCTGCACGTCAGGAACAAAACAGTTGTCAAACCAGAAGAGGGACAGAGAAGAGGACATCCACGCCTTACGTGCGGTTAGCCAGTGGACATTAAGCTTATTCATGTCCATATTCTTGTAGGCGTGCGGCTTGCGGGCTTTGTGAATCACCGATAACTTTGGTTTACAGGTACCGGAGGCATTGGTGGTAAACAGTGTGGTGTGGTGTAATCCAGGACAAGGTTCTTGAAACTCCAGGGCACGAGCAGTAGGTATATTCAATAAGTGTACAAGACTGGGCGTGATAGCCAACCGATACAGGAGCGATTACTAGGGACCCCGGACCGTAGGTAGGCCGGAGCCGATCTGAGGGAAATTAGCTAGCTAGGCAAGGAGAGTTGCTAGACATTACTAGGACAATAAATGAGGTCTTCTAATTACTCGACTAGCGCGGTACAGACATAGTACATCGGGACATAGTAAATGGACATAGGCATTAGACATAAGCATAGACATCAGACATGCTATAATAATATGTAGTAATACAGATATGTGAATAAATGGTACAATGAATGGTAACAAGAGTCCTGGCGTCAGGCGTGTTCACATATCTTGGTATGTACATATCTATACACCTCCCTCCCCCTTTACGCTCGTAGTGCAATCTCGAGCGGCTACGGACTCTTTTTCCATGAGTCGGGGGGAGCGGCGAGGGACAATGGGAGGATCAACTGACGACCTTCGTTCCTGGTCTGGGCAAGGGGACACAGGGGACGGGGAGGAAGGTTCGTCACTAGAGGATGGCACTGGGCGGAGGTGGCGTCTGTTTCGCCACCACACACGACCACTGGGGAGGCGGACTTGGTACGAACGAGACTCGCCACGGCCCATGACGACCCCGACCTTGTCCCAGCGGTGTGACGTCGGGTCCTGGATTCGTACTTGCTGGCCGACCGTCAACCTGGGAAGGGGGCGGGCGTGGGCGTCATAGTGGCTTGTCACTTGGGCCATCCGGGCAGCCTCACGGCGGTCACACTCGTCCGCCTTGATCTGCCATTCATCTAAGAAGGACTGGGGGTGGGCAGGCACACA